TTCTTCCGAATAAATTCGATAGCATTACGAAGCTATTTTTCTTGATGCAAGAACTTCGATTCTCCGATGGAGAATGAACCGAGATCGAGATGAAAGCGTTAGGATGCCGGTGGAATTGTGTTCGATCGTATAAAGCGAGCCCTGTGCGATGCTCCTCGAGGGCGCCGGATGAAAAACGGAGAGGAGAGAAAATCTGTGGCGCTCCGGCACGTAGTTTTCCAGGCTCGCTAGCAACAGAGCCGCGAACAGGTGTGGAAGTCTTAATCTATTTTCATCTCGGGTCAATATGTCAGGGTTGAACGATGCGAAACCACACGAATTTAGAACGTCGTTTGCCAGGCGAACGAACCAAGCCAAATCGAACGACGCGGGTCTAGGTCCGTTCGGGAAAACTAATAACGAGGAGCCTGGTTAATCGCAGCCGGATGCTCTTCCTGCACCTCCTATCCTGTTTTCTTTGACTTCGTCTTCCCCCGTCGTTCACGACGCCTTTGGACACGATCCATGAACGCTTCCCCTACCACCTGGATCACGGTTCCGATCGAAACGCTATCCGCGATCCAAACGAAAATCCATCACAATATTTATCCCCGTTAACCGGCCGTTGCGATCTTCAGCGCCGAGTCGAATACATTGTTAACACGAAACGCAGATGGTCTCCTATCAAAATAACACCCGCGGCTATCAGAATCTATCACAATACTCGTATTAACCTGCTGAAATCCTGAGAACGATATCTGCCGATCCAAATATTTGATTTTCCTTCGAAACGAAAAGATTGATTTCTTCGACCAGATCTTCGACTAGATCTTCGACTAGATCTGTAAAAATGAAAGCTTCCGCCGACTTCTATTTTCGTGTAAACGCGCGGAGACGATCGCTTGGAAACTCAGGAAATCATGAAGAATCTTTATGAACGAAGATGAAAACAACGTTGAAGCAGGCTGTTTAAGCGTTCTCGGAACATAAGCGCAACACATGGAAATCCTTCGTCGAATCGGGACACTTTAGAGGCCCGGAATAAACGTCCCGCGAAGTTCAATAGCTCCGCGAAGCGGCGATCGAGGACTATTTCCGTTCGCGACGGGTCGAATCGTCGCTGACGGAGGCCGAAAAAAAAAACGGAATTGAGCGATTTCCTGAGAGACTGCACCGGGAACTGGCAGAATGACAGAGCACGGACCGCGGGTGTACTTCGATTAGGCGAACGGGCAGCCCTCCCTGTTCGACGAGGGATAACAAAGCGAATTTCGGAGCCGGCCCCTCTAGCCTTGGATAAATATACGACCCCCATGGTTTACGCCGCCGCTATAAAGTTTAGAAGCAGATCCTTCCCGAGTCGAATACGTGAGAGAGTCCAGCTGAACGTCGTGCTTTTGATCCTTTTGTAAGCCCGACACCGGTACGAGAATTGGCGCTTTTCACTTTCAACGATTGGAAGATTCTTCGGATTAACGCTTATTTCAGAGAATAATTTATATTATCAACTTCGCTGTGAAAACATTTGTTCGGTATTGGTCGAGAGTTTAAACGCTTCCTGCTTGAAACGATTAACAGATTTTTGTAGCGGTAGACTTTTCGATTACGTTGTCTCGCGATGAGTATTCTATGTCAGTTGCAGAAAACACAGAAGTCACTTAAAAATGTCTTTAATTCTCTAATAACTTTAGTAAATTGAAACTAGTGTCTCTCGTCATTCTTCGATTTTTCTAATCTCTCTTCTGTTTTAAGTGGCGCCAGACCATTTGTCCCGTAAATCCGTAAAAATCGCAGTCTAGCAATGAGACACAATAAGTTCTCCCTAATTGACGCTCAGATTGTGCTTCCTAAATTGTCCATTTTTGTGCAGAATCTGAGCGTCGATCACAGAGAGACATTACTGTATTCGGTAGATCAGTTAATCAGGAATTTCTTTGTGAAATGTTCCCGTTGCGAAGTCCGAAGAATTATTCGAAGACCGAAAGGATATAAAATTCGTCGATATTATCAACCGACTATAATCTAACACCGATCGCTGACCAAAAATCAAAAATTCGTATTTAACGCTAAAGTGGACTATCCTCGAGCGTTTATTACCGTGTCGTTAACAGCCAGTTATCGTAGCGAGCTCTGCCAAACCCAACAACCGTGTAGGTGTGCAGTGCTCGGAAGAACACGTTGACACCTCGTCGTCGCGCGGATCTCGGCAAAATCGGGACAAAGTCGATATCGCGGCCGTGGAAAGACAAGTTCAAAGAGACCGGCAGTCATCCTTGGGCTCTGCCAACAACGTTAGCGCCTTCGATACGCGAATTGTAATAATCCGTGACTGCGCAACACCGTCCGTAAACAGCCGGACACGCTTCTAATCCTGAGCGTCCGTGCTTTACGAAGTTTCGGAGTCCCTCGCGGCCCGATTTATTTCGGGCTTGGTTTCGTTTCGATCAGACGGCGATACGTGTGTGAGTGTCGTCTGGCGAACGAAGCTGGAATTTACACCGTCATCCGGAAGCGATGACGCGCGTATTTATTCGCATAAATGACGACGATTAGTATTTATACCGTCACTATATTCCTATCGCTTTCCGATCGACGAAATACCAACGATTCAAAGCGCAACAAGTGGATCGGAGATTCGAAGATCCCGAATCCCGCAACTTTTTCCTCGGACGTTGCTCGGGTCCCCGAAGATAGCTTTTCGATCATGGGAATTTCTGCAACGATCCGCAGAAAAGATTGAAAGTTTGCTTATGAAATGTTTATATAAGGCACTAATTCTCCCGATTATTGCGGCTCGTACAAATCGTGGTCCACGTTTTCTTTATTCGAAGTTTCAGGAGTTTCTCACCGAGGCAGGATAGCGAGGTTTCTTTTTCGCGAATTAACGAGGCTTCCGCGGCAAGCGCGGCACTGTAAACATTTCTATAAAACGACTAACGTCACTGGCCCAGATGAAACGGGATCGGACAAACATTCGCTCGCGAGCTTCGTCGCACATGTTTTCGCGAGGAGCATTATACACGCCGGGACCACTTTGCGGCGAATCGAACGAACGGGCTAAACTCCCGGGCCCGAGAACCGATCGGAACGAATTATAAATGTACCGCTTTTAGACTCCGCGGATGAGATACACCTTTAATAATAGACTCGATGATTAACCAGTCTCTTAAATACGATCGCCGCCACTGTTTATCTTCCGATCCGTCACTGGTTACGGTTGATTTATAAGGGAAAAACGTCGCTCTAATAAATCCGTCGCGTTCTCGTAAACGCCGGACCGATCCGCCGTAGCGATCAATTCGTCATTCGATCAGCCAGCGATTCTCTAAGCGATTCTTAGAGAATTCTCTAAGCGATTCCAAGCGATTCTCTGTCCATCGGAAGGAGAACGCGCTATTTTTCGGCGCTCTAATAAAGCAGCGAGGCGAAACTCGATAAAAAAATGTACGAGAATAGAAACCGCGAGAAAATAGCTCGTGTTGATATTTGGAATTGCAAACGTTCGGTAATCAAATAACATTATTTTCTCTCCTCGTTCGTGAGCTATGGACTCGCTCGCGACCGGCAATGACGCAAAGAGGCGAAAAGGAAAGTGGAAGAACGAACGATCGGCGTCCTTCCCGAAATACTGCGAAAGACGAGGATGAAAATATTCACGGCGAACGCGGAATTCTCTTTGAGACGGACCCCGAGGACCCTGAGGCACGTTCAACCTTCTTCGATGATTTTCTATTCGCGGTTTCCGAACGATTTACGAGTAGACGTCCGGCCCCGTGAATCACGTACACGCCGAAGATCATCGATAGCAGGTTCGTCTGTCGATTTTCTGGCAGATTGCCCTCGATCGGTCCATCCTGGCTCCAACGAAAGCCGTTCGACCGTAAATTATGTCCTCTGGCATTAAGCTCCGTATATTTCCGAGCAGACGATATTACCGTTTTAAACGGCCTTTAGAGAACCCGCGGGAGAGGCAACGGCTCGTTTTTCGTTCGAACGCAACAACGTTGAACGGTTTCCCTTCCTGCACCAAGAGAAAGAATCTACCGAAAACGTCGCGTCGAGCTATCGACCACGGGAGTCTTTTCTATCGCGAAGAAAATTTCTTTCGTTTCCAAAGTTAGCGACAGACGAGACAGTGTTCAAGTAATTCGAGATATTGCCCGATCATCGTTGGTCACTAGACTGTGGAATATACGCAAGGAATTTGAAGTAGTGCGAAGTGAAAATGAAGTGAAATTATTTCACGTTTTTTTAAAGAGGTTCATCAAATATATGAGAAGTCTGCGATAGCAATGATTCTTCGATGGAATATTTCTCTCAGAGAGTCTATTTGCTAGGTTCTCCTGTAAACGCTTTTGGCAACAGAGATACGTCTCGATTCCTCTAGAAACAATATTTTTCTTTCCATTAACAGAAGCGAACGAATTCGGAAATATTTGCCAAAACATCGCGCGCGAAGCCACTTTTTATTTCGAGCCGGGAGAAGACGCCGAGAAAAAATAATCTCGAGCAAAAGCATCATATCCGTTACGACTTTTCTCGCGTTTCCGATCGTTTCGCACGGTGAAATCGTAAAAATGTTCCCGCGAGAAATATCTTTATGAACATCTCGCTTCAAGTAGACGCGAACTCTCGACGTTGCTACGAAACTAGTCCCGACTTCCAAGTTCATTCACAGCTTCGTTCTACCCTCGGCCCATCGAAGTGCGCCCACTTCGACAAGCGAAGCTGGCGAACGATATGGGAACGGTTCACGATTATTCACTCTAAACACCCTTTGTGTTTTCATACACCCTTCTCGATACGCCTGCTGCCTAACCCAGACGTAATAACACGTCTCCGACATTCAGCGACAGGGACCGCGACGGCTTGATTCGCGTTAATAAATCATCCCCTCGAGCCGGGCGGGCAGAAACGAGGTTTTTATTGCTTCGAATAAAGTTTACAGCCACTAGACTGCTCTAGTGCCGCGGCGTCCGGTTCTACGTGTTAATGGGCACCATCCATTCGTTTGCTTTCAGATACCGGCAGACCAGGTTCAGCTCGCGGCGGATCCGCAAGAGGGTGGTTTTCAAGCACGGCGATTGCAATGTCGTACAAGGAAATGTCGCCAAGCGGCGGCGCCGTTACCTTCAGGTAATTTTAAAGTATTTCTAAAAGCGTACGGCCGTGTGCTAGCCACCGACGATCGCGGCGGTGTGTTAAGACGTCGTTCAAGGCGATTCCGAAGCAGCCTCGGTCGACGACTACGCCGACCACGCGGCGTCTCGAGGTTTCGCATTTACCAACGATTCGATCGCGCCGAGAAACCAAAGCCGAATAATATCCTCCCGTTGTTCGATACCCGAACCAGTCGCCGTCCCTCCATTCCCACTCACCCTTTCTCGATTTATAATTGCAACCACTTGCCAAATTGCCCGGCATCTATAGCCGCGGCGGGGCTCTCCGCGCGAACAGCTGACTCCGCGATCATCTAGAAACGTTTACGCCGCGGAATCACCAAGCTCCAAGCAACTAAAATTACCATTCTCTTATGTAAAATCGAACCGCTACAGGCCACGCTATTTTTGCGCCCCGATTTCAGCCCCCATCGTCCTTTCCCGAATACTCCTTCGATGTTTTCATTTATTGGACGTATCGTTTGACCGAAGATCCGTTGCAGGACATCTTCACGACACTGGTGGACGCCCAATGGCGATGGACGCTGCTAGTCTTCTCCATGAACTTCCTGCTCTCGTGGCTCGGCTTCGCCCTGATATGGTGGCTGATAGCGTACAGTCACGGGGACCTGGACCCGGAGAACTACTCGAACCCGAATCTGACGTTCACGCCGTGCATCGTAGACATCCGAGGGTTCACCAGCTCGTTCCTCTTCTCGATCGAGACGCAGCACACTATCGGGTGACTAGATATATTCCTAATACTCGCGGGATGTTTCCTGGATCAGATGATTCCATGATTCGAACGAATTTCAGACGCTATCACTTTTGGGAGAAGCGTTTCGCCTAGGGTTTAACCCGCTAAATGTGGACGCGCTGCTGTCGTTGGTCGTTTGTTTAGGATGACAAGTAGTTTTCTTTCTTTCAACGTATTAGTGATATTGCAAGGATCGATCAGAATTTATCTAGAAATCGAGAACGAGCAAAGACGTTATCGAGCAGAGCTATTCTTCGGAGTACGAGTTGTATCGCAATACAGTAATGTCTCCCTTACTGACGCTCAGATTGTCCACAAAAATGGACAATTTGGGGAGAGGAGATACGATTGTCCAAGCCTTGTGGCTCGTTTTTTTATGGTTACCGATTGTCAACAACTATAAAAATAAGCTTTGAGGCACGAATAATCGTATCTCCTCTTCCGAAATTGTCCATTTTTGTGCACAATCTGAGCGTCAGTAAGGGAGACATTACTGTATCTTTCACAGTAATTAGCGAATATTCTAGTTGTGAAGGAAAGAGTCGTCAAGGTGTGTTAGCATCCTCGAATCTCTATTCGCGCTTCGAGGAATCGATAGAACGGTTTAGACATCGATCGAATTCGAAACGGCAGACGCAAGGATCATTTGCGAACGTTTTAGGTACGGCTCGAAACACCCGACGGACGAGTGTCCGGAGGCGGTGTTCGTGATATGCATCCAATCGATGACCGGCGTGATTCTGCAGGCGTTCATGGTCGGCATAGTGTTCGCGAAGCTGTCTCGGCCGAAGAAGAGGACGCAGACGTTGCTGTTCTCGCGAAACGCTGTGATCTGTCAGAGAGACGGCCAGCCGTGTCTGATGTTCCGTGTCGGTGACATGAGGAAGAGCCACATCATCGAGGCCCACGTCAGGGCCCAGATGATCAAACGGAAGGTGAGCGGATCGAACCTTGGACCGGTTGAACGCGAGACAAAACACACTTCGCGTATACTCGCCTTCCGCCGAAACACTCTCTTTCGTCGCTCGTCCTTTTCTACTTCTATTTTTACCGAGTCGCATTTATTCCGCAATAACTCAATATATTTATACAATGTCAGAAGTGGAGCCAGCAGCTCGAGAAAGACGGAAGACACGGTGCTTCGAAGATGACAACTTGACGCCAGCTTTCTTATCTCTTGCAGTCGTTCCAATTGCAAAACGATCTAACGCCGTATTTCTTATCGCGTAATCGTTCAAATTATCGGGGAAACGTTGATTAAGGACGACTCGTTGCAAAGATCTGCTGGGTTAAAAAAAGACAGACGATCAAAATTGTTGACCCGACGGTGGATTTTCTATAAAGCACTTTTCTCTGATACAAATTCGTGGAGAATTTCGATTCTCCAAGATGCAAGTTTTGCTGCACTTCAGCTGCGTCTCTCGTTGCATTTCAGGTGACAAGGGAAGGAGAACTGCTGCCATTCTTCCAGACAGAATTAAAAGTGGGTGGAGACGGCGAGGAGGACAAGATATTCTTCATTTGGCCAACGACGATCGTCCACAAGATCAACGAGCAGTCGCCTCTTTATCACATATCGGCCAGCGATATGCTAAGGGAGCGTTTCGAGATCGTGGTGATACTAGAGGGTGAGCAAACTCGGTCGGTGATTCGGGACCGAACAAATCGATGATCGCGTTCAGAAACGTCACGATAATTCCAGGCGTGATCGAGTCGACCGGCATGACCACGCAAGCAAGAAGCTCCTATCTACCTTCGGAGATACTATGGGGACACAGGTTCGAGCACATAATCACGTTCAAGAAGGAGACCGGGGAATACGAAGTGAACTATACTTTGTTCAACAACACCTACGAGGTGGACACGCCTCTCTGTTCCGCCGCAGATCTCGATAAAATTCGAGCGATGCAGCGTGCAAAGGGAGGTACGAAATCGACGAATTTCCCGACGGTTATTTCCCGCTCTTTCCACGTGGATCGTAAAAAGCGGACTCTGATTGAGGATCGCGCGAGCCCGGGGAAAATGTAATTGACCCCGATTAACATGAATCAAGTTCATTCAATCTGCGCCGATACTAATCGCGTCGCTCGAACTTTCCTCTATATTTATAGACTAGGAGCGCGAGGGTCAATCAGAAAGCGGCGTTCGTTTCAAGCTGCTCGCGAAACGCTTTTGTCCGTGAATTGTTAAAGCAGAAAATACCTGGCAAATTTTCCGCGGAGAATCTCCACGAAAGAATTACTCTGAATGGAAGCACGAAGTATGGCGTCGGCGAAAACTTTTCAAACATATTTTTCTGCGCTTCGTAAATCTGCGATTCTCCTGTTGAATCAAGGAGTTACGTTCGCGCGTAATTTATACTCGATCTTCGTGCGCGACACTTTGTCACGGTACGCCTAGAAAGTTAGTGGATTTTTCTGCAATTTTTCTATTCGTTCCAAAAGTGCCGATCGATTCGCACACGCTTTCCGCATTATCTTCGTGCACGATCTTATTTCGCAATTCCATCTAAAACAAAGCTATCATCCAGAAATTTTCTGCGAATTTTCCAATTCGCGCGAAAGGTGCCGATAAATTTTGCTTTCTATACGATCCTCGTGGACGGCAGTTGCTGTTAGTTCCCCCTAGAAGTCCATAGAGGTGCATAAACTGTCGAAAGACACTCGTTTCTCGTTCGGAACGTCGAAGAACTAGTCGGTTTACGGACCGTCCTCGGCTCCGATCGAAAGAATGTCTCGTTCCGGGATAAGCAACGGGACGGTTAATATCCGGACAGGTTCGTAAAAGCCGCGGAAACGGTTAACGAGAAGGCGGTGGCTCGCGTTGCTCGTAAACGAGATTCCCGGATAGCGACCGGTAGTTTCGGTCTCTCGGATCGGGATCACCGTGGCGCGACAGCCCGATATTCTGCCGCCATCGACCAACAGATTTAGATTCCACGGATGATTTCAGAGCGCATGAGCAGCAGCGGGTTCCCTCATTACCGGGACGCGTCCAGCAGCTCGTTGACTACCGGATCCGGTTCGAGCCTGGCATCGTCGACCGGTGGACTGCACATGAACGTACCGATGACTCCGTTGACTCCGATCCCGGTCATGATCACCAGCCCGGACGGTTCCCTGAGGCGCGACAGCATGCAGAGCATGCAGATCGACGGGAAAACGCCCGTCTTTTATACTCAGAACGAGGTACGGCATCCACCGATCTTATTTATACCAGCAATAGCAACCGTTTCGCTGGATCGCGCCCCGTTTACCGGTCAGGGGAATAATTGGTCAAGTATTCGAGATACGACGAGAAAAAAGATACAGGAGGAATCGAACTGCTCTTCGGTAACTATTAGACCGCGGGTCTTTATGGCATACATAAATCTATAGAACGAGAGAAGACGAGGATGTTAACGAGAGGCGATCGCGTTACTATTTTGTACACTTGCCGTAGCTATTTTGGTCGATGCGAAACAGAGTTGGGCGAAAAGTAATCTGATTGATGATTAACGATTGTATCTCGTTAGTTGTCGTAACTAATTTATAATTTATATAAAGAATCGTTGATCATCGATCGGATTACTTTTTGCCCGACTCTGTCGAAAAGAACACTTTTCCCTCGTTCAGGTTGTTGGAAAGTAATACACGTAAATGAGAAATTTCCTAGAGATACGATATCACATACAAGAATAAATATCCTGTAGGTGTGGTAAAAGTTCCTCTGAGAGAAGTATTTGATAGTGGAGGGGAGAGGTTGCGGTTTCGATTAACTTGCGGTTTATGTTTTTGTAGCTGCTGGATAGCGAGGCCCATTCGATCGATCACATGTCGGAGGAGACAAGGAACCAGGAGGATTATAATCGTGTGTTGGAGGACATCAACGCGTCATTGAGGAAGAATCGAACGGAGGAGAGGAAAAAGGAGGATAGGAGGATGCATAAAGACGCATCGAGGGCCACGATGGACTCGAAAAAGAGCGACGTAATGAGGCGATCCACCTCGAGGACAACCATGGATCAGATTCCAGGCCTTATCAATCCTCCGCCGAAGACACCGTCCCGTCAGCATTTAGAGTCTAGGTGAAGAACTCGGAGACGAAATTTGCAAGCATCGTTTCAGACAGGCGTCGTGCAAACTTGTTGGGCTCAAAGTTCTCAAACTCGTCGATAAACTTCGACGGTGTTACGATTTCGTGCGAGAGAATTAATGAAAATTCTGAGTAAACTTTCACTGCTTACCTAGAGAAGACTATCGAAGAATGGTTCGTCGGTCTTGATCACGCTGTTTCTGCTTGTCTGGGCAATCTGTACAATCAATAGATACAAACAATGTTTACTTTACATAAAGGTCCACGGTATAATTATTATTAAAACGTTATTCATGAGTAGAACCATTGTCTGGTCACGACAGATCATTTCTACTTACCCTTAAACAGATCTTATACAAGAGAATGAGAGAAAACAGTGTACAGTAATGTCTCTCTAATTGACGCCCAAATTGTCCGCAAAAATGGACAAATTAGGAAGAGGAGATACGATTATTCGATCCCTGCGGTTCATTTTTATAGTTCCGAATTGTCAACGACTATAAAAACGAGCCGCAAGGCTCGAATAATCGTATCTCCTCTTCCCAAAGTGACCATTTTTGTGGACAATCTGAGAGACTCAGATGTCTCAATTAGAGAGACATTACTGTACAGAGTATCTGTGTCCGACCACGTCGTCCGTTTCCACTTTCACTAAAACCACGCACCGATTCCCAACACAAACTTTATTACAAATAAAAATGACCCCGCTCTCGTCTCTCGCGACCATCGAACACCATTCGTCTTCCGAGGGTTAAAACGAACTCTGCTCTATCTCGTTCGGAGCACGAACTCCTCGATTTACAATCTTACCGTTAGTCGCGAAAGAAGAACGAACTAAGCTGAAATTAGCTAATCGAGTTTGTCGTTGACAGGCACCAGAAAGTCGCGGAGCCTCAGGATGTCTACCGCGAGCCTCTNGAGGTTGCGGTTTCGATTAACTTGCGGTTTATGTTTTTGTAGCTGCTGGATAGCGAGGCCCATTCGATCGATCACATGTCGGAGGAGACAAGGAACCAGGAGGATTATAATCGTGTGTTGGAGGACATCAACGCGTCATTGAGGAAGAATCGAACGGAGGAGAGGAAAAAGGAGGATAGGAGGATGCATAAAGACGCATCGAGGGCCACGATGGACTCGAAAAAGAGCGACGTAATGAGGCGATCCACCTCGAGGACAACCATGGATCAGATTCCAGGCCTTATCAATCCTCCGCCGAAGACACCGTCCCGTCAGCATTTAGAGTCTAGGTGAAGAACTCGGAGACGAAATTTGCAAGCATCGTTTCAGACAGGCGTCGTGCAAACTTGTTGGGCTCAAAGTTCTCAAACTCGTCGATAAACTTCGACGGTGTTACGATTTCGTGCGAGAGAATTAATGAAAATTCTGAGTAAACTTTCACTGCTTACCTAGAGAAGACTATCGAAGAATGGTTCGTCGGTCTTGATCACGCTGTTTCTGCTTGTCTGGGCAATCTGTACAATCAATAGATACAAACAATGTTTACTTTACATAAAGGTCCACGGTATAATTATTATTAAAACGTTATTCATGAGTAGAACCATTGTCTGGTCACGACAGATCATTTCTACTTACCCTTAAACAGATCTTATACAAGAGAATGAGAGAAAACAGTGTACAGTAATGTCTCTCTAATTGACGCCCAAATTGTCCGCAAAAATGGACAAATTAGGAAGAGGAGATACGATTATTCGATCCCTGCGGTTCATTTTTATAGTTCCGAATTGTCAACGACTATAAAAACGAGCCGCAAGGCTCGAATAATCGTATCTCCTCTTCCCAAAGTGACCATTTTTGTGGACAATCTGAGAGACTCAGATGTCTCAATTAGAGAGACATTACTGTACAGAGTATCTGTGTCCGACCACGTCGTCCGTTTCCACTTTCACTAAAACCACGCACCGATTCCCAACACAAACTTTATTACAAATAAAAATGACCCCGCTCTCGTCTCTCGCGACCATCGAACACCATTCGTCTTCCGAGGGTTAAAACGAACTCTGCTCTATCTCGTTCGGAGCACGAACTCCTCGATTTACAATCTTACCGTTAGTCGCGAAAGAAGAACGAACTAAGCTGAAATTAGCTAATCGAGTTTGTCGTTGACAGGCACCAGAAAGTCGCGGAGCCTCAGGATGTCTACCGCGAGCCTCTCCCTCACCCACTTTCCCTATCGAGAAGATCGAGCTTAGGAGACAACCACAGGCCCAGAGAGCCCCTGAAGAAGACCAGCTTCATCCTGGGAGACGACGACAGCGTGATCACGATCCCCGAAGCTGGTCATCGAGGTCCGGACCCGATGGATTCGGATTCATCGAAGTCGAATCATCATCCTCTGAGCAGAGGCCCGCAGGAGCAGGTATAGGTGAGTGACCGACTTCGTTCGAACTGCCACGACGATGGTTAACGATCGACCTCGCGAACCGAGGGGTTGCTCAACGATTCCGTGGACGTCACGCGAGCCCGGATCCGGGAGAAATCCCAACAGGTTGCTACACGGTGGTCGTTTCCGCTCCAGCATCGACGACCCGTTATCAAACGAAAGGTAGAGGCTCCTCGGGCAAATTGCCACGGACAGGAGGATCAATTACTCCCCGGGCGATTTGCAACGATCGACCTCTTAAAACGCGGCTCGACTTCACCGTAGACCGGACTTCTAAATTGTTCTATCTGGGACACAAAGACGTCATGCCGGGCTGCCTTCGTACTATACACGCGTACGCTCGAGTTCCTTCAACTAAACCGCATCCGGTCCACGGCGGATCTGGTATCCGGTTTCTTCGTCCGTTTTCCCGGTTTTCCGCAATTTAATAACCCCTCGCGCGCGTAGAATTCATTTCTTTTTTACGCTCAGATTCCCGCAGTGTTCGATTTAGACCGCATTGGGTCTTCCGTTTGATCCGAAATCGATCGGGCGACTGCGAACGCATGGGCAAATCTTTTCCGAGCCGATCGGCGGAATTCTGCTCGATCGGGATATCTCGACGTATCGAGCGGAGCTACAGTTACTCGGGACTCTAATTAAAAGGCGCGCGATCGCCGTGAGTCACTATCGTTCATCAGCGTTTCGCAGTTTCCGATGTAACGCAACGGTGGCTGCGTTACACACCGGGTATAAATAGAATCGAATGCGTTTACTTTAGAGCGAATCGGCGACTACACCATAAATCCCGCCGGTGAACCGACCTTTCTCGGAACGCGACGTCGAATCGGGCGAACTTGAACTCGAACGGTGCTCGACACAAATCGATGAAGACAACGGATCGTTCCATGGCAATTGTCCGAGCAAAATTCTCTGGCCGATCTACCGTATTCTATTTTCTGCCAAAGCTGCGATGGTGTTTTATTTCTAGACTCGTTCGAGGGATCTAGATTCTTTTGTGCGAAACCGACTTAAACGATTTAGCTCGAAAACACGGGTTGAGATCGACGAAATGGATGGCAAACGTTTTGGTAGAACGGACCTGTAACGCGTTTCGCAATCGGTCAGTCGGCGTCTAGATTCCAACGGATTCTTTCTCCCGCGAGGCACCACATACGCACAGAAAAATAATGCTTATCCTCTGTACACGTAAACGTGTAATTTTGCAAGATCGCGGGCCAGCCGTGTGGCACGCTTCGCAGATCCGAGCGTGCGCTTGTAGGCTGAGGCTAAACGAGCCCGGAAATCATCGGTTAAATGGCATGCCGTGATGATCTGGACGGCGATGAGCTCTAGAAGAAATTATCTCCTCCGTTCCACACGCCGCGGACTCGAGTCCGCTGGAATATTCGTCGAATCCACGCAGAAAAACACCAATAAAAAGATTCGCGTCTTGCAATCCTGCGATCAATGCGGATAATTGGTCTGCAGGAAATTAAAGAATGCTAGAAATCTTCCAATTAACAACTGAACCCCTTCGATTCGATGTTCAGACGAAAATAAGAAATTGCGAAAAGATCTGGAAAAGGCTGGATACTTGGAATATAATCACGAAATTAAGGTTTCGCTAACGAACTAACTTCCAGGTAAAAAAGGGTTTTTCTAACCGTGCGCATGAATAAATAAATTACTATTATCATTGTAATCAAGTTACGAACGCAAAGACGTACCATTGTCCTAAATCTTTCATCGAGTATCTGCACACGATTGACCAAATATTTGCACCTTGGGAAAGGTCAAGCCGGAGCTAAATATTTGCAACTCGCAAGCGACAGAGAGAACGAGAAAGCAATTCAGCCAACTCCTGACCTCGATTATGAAATTACCAGTGAACCTACCACGGTCAAAATGACCGGTTCCTTGCACGAATCAATTATTATACATTATTGGTGCACGTTCTCTAATAAAAACTTCGAAGAATCCGAACGAGTTCTTTTTTGCGAGGCAGCGCGCGATATTATGGCTCGGTGGGTCCAGCGTAACGAGATGGCGGAAACAGCTTCAAGGCTCCGCGGATAGGGAAACGCGGCGAATTCAGGAGCTTGAACGTCGAGATATTCGGTCGGCATGATGCAATGGACCGGCACGACTCGTCGGTTGAAGGGCAGATGGATGAGCAGAGGACTAAGTGGATATCCAGAGAGCCGTAGGTTAGACGATACTGCTCGACACGACAGGACAGGATGAGTTTAGCAGCGGGAAGTGCCCTCGTTATCACGCCAGTCAATTGTTTAATCTCAGCCGCGTCCCTCCGGTCTCCGCTGGGCCAGGTTTCCACGCACGGCGAGCCATGACACCACGCGAAACACGCTAAACCAGCTATCAAGTTCCTCGAGCACGTACGATTCGTGCAAGTTGCACGGCCCCGCGTCCTTGTTCCCTTCGGCCACCGCCTCTTTCGAGACCCGCGCAAGCTCGCCCATCGTGCAAAAGGGGAACCCAAGCTCTTCCTTGTTCGACCTCTTCCACCAACGACCGACGAAAAGCTCGTTCTTTTTCCCGTTCTTCTCCTCCTACCGACGAATCCTCGACTCATCTTTTTGCTACCTCGAACCCGACCCAGTTTCGATGTCGATAAAAACTTTAATACCTCAAGGTTCTACCCCGGTGTCCCAGGGACGCTGTTCCGACTCTTTCTGGTCCGCGGTTCCTATTGTTTCTTTGAAGTCTGCTTCGTTTTCCTCTCTGAACACTTCTTCTGAAATGGCCGGCTGATTTTCCCCGCGATCCAAGATTCTTCTGAAAATTGTCAGCTTCCGTCAACAGATGGTTTCTTAGGAGCTTTCTGATGTTTTGCTGTGACCAGTTTTCTGTGGCGAACTCTTTCACAAGCGTGTACCTAAAATGTGTCGCGAAGAAAGGACCAACTATTTGTTCACGCTAGAATATACTGTCTTTTCGTATCCGACACTGATGGAAATCTCGGTGGAATATCTCGATCGTCGATTCTCGAGTGAACGACCTTTGTTACACCGGGAGAGAGAGGGGGAGGGAGAAAGGGAGAGAGGAGTCGATTCCGCGTTCCTCTAGGCAGGTTTCTACAACCGCGTTATCGCGGTTCTCTTAATTTCTTATTCAAAACAGCCCATTGTCCGCGCGACAATGAGCGGTGTCTAGAATGACAGCCGGCGCGCGAGGATGGAAAAACGACGAAGCGTATCACCTTGCGGCGCGGAATTGCGACATCCTCCTCCGGGACTGTCCTCGGTCTGATATGCTGATTATGCTTGCACTATCTCGCGAATAACGATTCGCGTGCTTCTGTTCGCACCTCGAATGCTCGCGCGGCGCTTCTTCCTCTGAACGACACATACTAAACTCGTCGTGACTCACGTCCGAAACACAAACAACTCTATTGCAAGATTCCGACGGTGACTCCTGAAATTCTCGAGCAATTAAGCCAAGTGTCAACGTATTAGGATAATTGTACAGAACAGCAGCAGATACGCCGATTAAGTTACTCGTCGACAGGATTCCCGAAGAGAACGATAAGACGATTTTCTTGTTGAACCGACCAGGGTTTCGGACGACTTAAAACATGGTGAAGAACGGTGATAAATTTTCGAATGCTTATCGCACCTTGCATGTTAACGAGTGCAACATTCGCGGCTAAGTTGACCACCGAAACAAAACTTCTGCACGATCTATGAAGTACAGCTACGATCTCGAACACAGAACGGATCGACCATTTGCGGACAAACGTCGTCCAGAAATTACGAACATCGAATTTGATTACGTATAATACATAGGAGAAAATATTAATCGTTCTTTCCATTACGTAAATTCTTGGCACGCGATCTAATTCACCGGAAAATATTAGCGAAATATTCCGCGGGGGATTGAAAATCGTAGAACAGGAAAGAGAAGCGGACTCCGGCTTAGCTCCTCGACAGCACTGTTTGCTCTCGCGGCGAGAGCGTTTATACACGGTTACCCAGCGGATAGGTGGTCCAATTGCAGCAGCTTGTGCAGCGGTAAAACCGAACAGCGACAAAAAGACGGCAGAAACGAAAAGAAGCGAGGATCGGCGAGGCTGCCGGCTCGGTCTCGCGTTACAGCGAAACGAAAGGCGAAAGTCGAGACAGTGTATCGTCGAGGAGGAAGAAGACGGGTGTCGTCGTCAGTGTCGTCGAGTCTCGTCGACGCGACGGGCGAGTTCGTCGCCGATTGGAGAAGAGGCTCGGCTTTTTTCACGACGGAATCACCGTCTGGTTTTCCATCGTCGCGGGCCAACAGTGCGATTACTGGGAGAACACTTTTATTACACGCTTGTTTACCTCATTTTCACGGCGGCAGTCGTGACTAAGGCAGCCGTGGCCGAAGGTCGTCACACTTTTCGAGCCGAGCCGAGCCGAGCCGAGCGTGTAAGTGTTACGATAGCGAGGCGGCAACGCGGGCCGGCCCGATACCGGCTGATTCGTCAAATGGAAACTATAGTTTCCACGGTTGGCATTGCTAACGCCGTTCTTACTAGCAAAGAGAATCGAAGCTAGATTTTCGCTAGCGTTTAGGCCGATGCATCGAATCGTGCGTCATCGATTCTCTAAAACGTTCTTTCTTTTTCACTGCATTGGCTGCAATCGTTCCAAACATCGTTCGTTTCAACGAGATCTGGTTATGCAGGCTGAAAGAAAATTGTTGGATGTGTAGCTTTCTGTTCCGTGCATTCGAATGTTCGTCAGTGCTTGGGCTAATTAATTCGTCCGTTCTTTGCTTCGCTTCTCTAGGTTTGTCTATTTGGAAATTTCTTTGGTTGTTCGGTGTATTAGCCGTATTTTTCTTTTCGATTCGGCGTGGTCGTAGTTTCGTTGAACGAGCCACGAAAATAGAAATAAAAGCGCTCGAAGAGCACGGTTCGCGCACGTTTCGAGATTGATAAGAAACATCAATGGGCAAACGTTACCGTCACGTCGCGTGTCCGATTAAACGACCGTTCGTACGTT